GGGGGTTTTATTATGGCTGCGGGCTGGTTTACAGCTCGCTCCCTCACAGTCGTAAAAAGAAAGCCCCAGCCCCAGAGAGGCAGAGCTGCCGCCCTGGCATTGGCGGCTGGGGGATGGAGGGACGGGGAAGGAGGCTGCTGCTTCCTGGTCTCCTTCCATTTTACAGGTCGTTTCCTAGCAGTAAATTTTGTGATTAGCAGAAAAAGTAAAAAAAAAATCCCAACCCAAAAACCAAGTCCCAGCCTCTTTCCAGGTTGTTGGGGCTCTTTGCTGTTATTGTCCATCATCATTTTTAGCTCTGTTTATGGCAGGAAGGAGATGGCGAGCAGAGAGGTGAGGGTTGAAGGGTATTTATTTTGTCGAGCGGCTGTTTTTGAAGGAGGGGGTTTCCCCTCCCGGCTTGCTCTTTCTTCCCGCTGCACCTGGTCCCCAAAAGTATCCCCCAGCCCAAACCTGTGACTGCAGACTCTGGTCTAGTGCTTTCCCCCAGCTGCGAGGCTCTTTCAGAGACCCTGCCTCCTGGCTCTGCTCCGGCGGATGCCGAGACCTACAGAAATTAAACGTTTTGCACAACTTCCAAGGGGAGCCGAGCCCAGGAGCCCTGGCCTTCCCCAGTGTCCCCAGTGTCACGCATCGGCTCCCCAAATGCACCCAGATAAAACCAGCAGCCACGGTCCCCCAGTCACCATTAAAGCCCGAAGGGTTTCCTCCGTTTGCCGGTTCCTGGTGGGGATGGGGTCCGGAGGGGAGGACCCCGCTCTCCCAGCCGAGCATCCCAGCCGGGGCGTGACGCATGTCCCCTCGGTGAGTGCCGGCTCAACAACGGCGGCTGCGACCACATCTGCAGGAACACGGTGGGCAGCTTCGAGAGTGCAGCTAAGAAGGGCTACAAGCTGCTCATCAACGAGAGGAACTGCCAAGGTAAGGGGCGGCAGGACCCCCACCCTGCCCTGCCCGGGGACATCACCTCTCCCTGCCCTCCGGCGTTTCTCAGCCCTCCCACGGCTGCTGCTGGAGGAGTGCTGGCCGGGTTACTCGTTCGTCTTTGCTTTCCTCTGGACGGCGTGCATCCTTCGGGGGATTAGTGTTAGATTTGGGTTCTGGTCTGGGGCTCAGCGCTTTGATCTGCAGAGCTGGGCTGCCGTCCCAGCCCCGCTCCCGCGCTGGGGATTTCTGGGCTCTTCTCGCAGCGGAGTTAAAGCCAGCAATTAGGCAGATGCCAGGTGAAATCCTCCGGCTTTGCTCAGGGCTGGGAGGACGGTCACGACGTTCCCCACAGCCCCGTGGGCTGGGACTCAGCTCCACCTGGGCGCAGGGAGCGTCCCCGCCAACAGCCCTGGCAGCAAGCACACCCCGAGCCCGGGACCGTCGGCTCTGCTCCGGAGCACCCGTGCCAGGGGCCCGGGGAGCCCAGCAGCACCCCATGGGAGGGCACCCTGAACTCAGCACCCACCCTGACACCTCCGGGCTTCTCCCAAGCTGCTCCGCTTTATTGCACAAAGGTTTTGCTAGTGGTCCCGCAGCATCATGACCGTAGCTCGCTGCTAAAGCACACGCACTGACGCACCAGCTGCTTCCTCCTGTCTCGAGAGGCCGCCGTTTTCCTGGGACGGGGGACGGGAAGAGCAGCAGGACGTGTCCTGCCTTGCCTCTCCCCCTCTGCCAGCCACCGCTGGATCGTGCCCTGCTCGAAGACACGCTGGTTTTGCAAGCCGTCAAGGCAGAGTAAGGATTTCAGCGGCTTTTGCAAAAGCATTCCTCCTTCCCCTGACTGTCGGAGGGCAGGAGGGAAGGGGGAAGATGCATCCTGGCTCGCTCTGGAGGGAGCTGGCTGCTCTGCGCTGCTTTTCCCACCTTTTTTGCCCAGTCCCAACATCCTCCTGCACCTCCCACATAAACCCAGCAGGTTTAAACAACCCGGTAAGGTTGCTGGGCCATCCTGGGGGGAGCACAGGGCTCTGCCCCCCCAGCCTGCAGCCGACGCCGGCCCGGCGGGTGTGTGTAAGCCCGAGTGTTGCCTCCCGAAAGCACGCGACCGGGGAAGGAGGGGGCTGGTGCGCTCCGGGGCCGCGACCGCTTTCATCTCCATCCAGGTTCTGCACTCTTGGGAGTTTGACGCGAGAGCGGCAATTAACTTAATGAAGCCAATGAAATGATGCTCAAACCCGCCGGGTTGGGTTCACCCGCCCGGCCGGGACCTCCCTGCCCCGGGGAGGTGCCCCACGGGGGTGAGCAGACATCGCTGGCACCGTCCCCGGGGCAGGACCTGCCTGCGCAGCATCCCTCCCAGCCACAGGGCAGAGCCCTGGCCGGGCTCTCACAGCCGCCCCATGCCAAGGACACGGTGCTGGCCCCGTTTGGCCCGTTTGAGGTGCAGAGGGACTGCAGGAGCTTGGGGCAGGGGGGGATGCTGGTGCAGTGGGCTGCTGCTCCCATGTAGCAGCAGCTGGAGTGGGCAAGGAGGGAGCTTGGAGGCAGGCAGGGTAGGAGCACAGGGTCCCGGAGCGTCCCCAGTGCTGGATCCCCAGAGCATCCTGGTGTTGGATTCCTGGAGCATCCCAAGGCTGAATCCCTGGACCATCCCAGTGCAGGGTCCCACAGCATCCCAGTGCAGCCCCCAGCTTGCTGGAGCAATTGGAGCAGGAAGGGGACAGCCCAGGGCTGCCCCTCTGCGGTGCCAGCCCTCACCTCTCCCCCTTGCCTTTCCTTCAGACATCGATGAGTGCTCCTTCGACCGGACCTGCGACCACCTCTGCATCAACACCCCCGGCAGTTTCCAGTGCCTCTGCAACAAGGGCTACACGCTGTACGGGCTCACCCACTGTGGAGGTAGGGCTGGCTGGATGCTGGCAGGAGGAGCCGATCACCCTGCTGGGTTCGGGTCCCGGAGGGGCACACGGGGCACCCAGGGATGGGGCAGCCCCCATGGCACGGTTGCTGCGGGGCCCCTGGGGATACCGCTGACCCCAAGGGCTCACGGGGAGGGTCAGTTCCCTGCATACCCCGAGCTGGGGCCAGGCAGGGACGGGGCTCACAGCCAGACGCTGGTGTCTGCTACTTCAAACGCAGCGACAGGAACAATTTGTGACTTGTCTGCAGCGGGAGAGAGGGAGAAATCCCCGGCGTTTTTGGCAGGGAGCTGGGATGGGGTGGGAAGGAGAACATCAAAAGGGTTTGATTTAAGTTTCACAAGGCAGATAGCTCCCAAGGGCGGGGGCGTGCGGCGCCCAGGGAAGCAGGGAGGCAGATGAAACATGCTTTGGGGGGTTGCCGGACCGTGTCACGGCCGCGGGGCGGTCAGCCTGGGGAGACAGGGGCACGAGGCGGGGTGCTCCAGCACTGCCCAGCCGGTGA